ATTTATCTGATCCACCAAATTCCCAATGACTATGAATGCAAAGTCAGTAAGGTTAAGTAGCAGCGGTCATATATGGAGTTCAGCTGCCACCTATGGTATGCAGTCCTGAAAAGGACCTTTTGTCATTCTGGCCATTGTTTGGCCATCGTTAAAAATAAATAATCACTTTGATCACATGACTAATTCTTCAAATTGTCAAAAATCACCCATAATTTTGCCCAAATTGTTTTAGAAAATAAATTACACCGCTTCTTCATTCTACATCATGGCATGGCTCTGCTACATACCAACTGGCCACTTAGTATCAATCGACAAGCGCGCCAAGAGACTTATAATTGACATGGATTTAGTATAGATACGAACAGCCTGCTTATCGGTATTCTACAGAATATATATCACGGAGTGTGTGCGATGGAATTGCGTGATTAAATTCCGCCTTCCCATTCCCATCGTGGGAATAGAAGAAGGCTGAGGTTCCACACCTATGTTGTGGATATTTTAAAGATTCGCTCGAAGCGTTTAGCTTCCGCATTTATATGCGAACGGCAAAGTAGTGGAATTCCCTGCATATAGACTTGTTTCCCGAACGCCATAACTTGGGCCTCTTCAAGGCGAGAGTCAATAGGTACTATTTAAGTGTGCATGCTACGTCGTCGACCTCATCGTCGCTTTCCATTAGGTGAGATGTAGGTCAAATGCGCACTTAACTACTTATAAAAAAAAGCGGTCTATGTCTGCAGGAGGGCTGATGGCCGATGGAACAGGCTTGTTTTAGAGTGGCAACAACGTCAAGGCAAACGTAATGTAGGAAGCCCTGCGAAAAGATGGATGAACGACCTAAGAAAGGTGACCAACTGCGGATATAGGTGGCATACGACGAGTGAGTTGGCGTGCTTGGGGGCTTTATCTCCAGCAGTGGATGCGTGTAAACTGATAACGATTGGAGGCAACATATTTGTAAAGGTAATAGAAAGGTCTCTATTAATCTATATAGACAACTCATCATCATCATCATATCAGCCGGAAGAAGTCCACTGCTGAACATAGGCCTCCCCCAAAAATTTCCAGGCTAGTCGGTCGAAGGCGATTTGCATCCGTAGTTTCCCGCCGCCCTCACCAGGTCATCTAGAAGGAGGCGATCCCACGTGTTCGTGGTCTCCATTCGAGAACCTTTCTGCCCTAATAGCCGTCAGTTCTACGCGCTATGTGCCCTTTTTTTTCTATTGTCTACTGCCACTTGCTAATCCTTTGAGCTATGTCGGTGATTTTTGTCGACCTCATTTCTGATTCGATCACGTAGAGAAATACCGAGCATTGCTCGCTCCATAGCTCGTTGGGCGATTGACCTTTTCTATGAGGCCCATAGTAAGTGACCATGTCTCAGAGCTGTTTAATATAGACAACTACAACACTGAAATAATACATTCTGTTGCATGTATAAACGTAAAAGCCGTGGTAGCCTCGTGGTTTGACCTGCCGCGTCTCAAGTAGAGACCGTGGGTTTAAATATGGTTTAAATCCGGGCTCGCACCTCTGAGGTTTTCGAAATTTTTTTGCGAAACTTAATAAGTTTCCCTGGAGATTCTCGGTGACGGAAAAACATCGTGATGAAACCTGCACGTCGAAGATGAGTTCACAACCTTTGAAAAACGTGAAGTCCCCAAACCGCATTTAAGGGATTAAGGCCATAGTCCACCAGTTTGGTGGACTATGGCCTTAACCCGTGCCCAGCATTTGGACATCTATATGGGTTGATGATGATGTATAAATAAAAACATGGAATGTTTTTTCAGCAGGATTTGAGGAGGAAAAGGAAATTGTTGACAAGTGAATTAAGTTTCCCCGAAATAGTATCATAAGGAAATCTTTAAGAATAATCTCTTCAGAATTGTAGATTAAAAAAAGAAGAGTAAATTAAAATAATGAAACACAACCAAAATTTAACGTACTTATATTTTGTACAATTCAGGATAACAAACTCAAAGAATGCCGAACAAACGCTACAAAACAAAACCAAAGAGACAGAATAGAAGTGTCTGCGATTGGCCAAGTAGCTCTAATATTTTAACCAATCAGGAGGCAGAAGAGCGATTGAGTAGCGTCATATTTGATATTATAATGTGCCAAAACTCGACATTCTCTTTCTAAAACCTTTGTACCTGTTATGCAATATTTTGAGATGGGTATTATTAAATAAAATAACTTAAATTTTAATAATTTCACAAATATTGTTTAATAACTTATTCTGTTATAAAACACAGTGACACCTTTGAACTAGCAAATGTGTACAGATGTATAAAGAATTTTTTTAGTTCAGTAGAGTACCAAAGACAATGGAATTTTGGTTCAGAACTAAAAAGAGTTCCATTGATAACAACCATAAACCATTTCATAAACCATATAAAAGGTTTATGAAATTATAATTGACAGATTAAAGTACAGGCGTAGAAATAAAAGTTTATTTTATTAATTGAACCGACTGTGTCAGATGCAATCTGGTCAAACTTTTTCCATCCTCCAAGGGTCAAACGCTTTGAATTTGGTGATTTTATTGACGTTGGCGGCAGTGCATGCAGTGGTGAAAAGGGCACCATAACTTTTATTACATTTTTAGCAGCACTGGAGATTTCGGTTTTGGCACATTGTCTTTTAAGTCTTCTAAGCAGTTCGTTATAACAAATTCTGTAGCTTTTTTATGTTTCTTGTGGTACAGTGTTGTTTATATTTTGTATTAGTTTCCTTTTAGTTAGTTTTAGTTACCTGGTGTGATCCATTGTTTATGTTTTTTTAGGATTCAATGTTTTGATTTGTGATACTTACTTTTGATTTGTAACATGTGATGAAAGCAATAAAAGAATTATTTTTTCCTTTGCGCTTTCAACTAACGGCGGCAGAGTTCTTAGTTGTCTCTGTGGTAAAACCTTATATTGTACTTACTAGAATAATTTACGTAACATATATTTCTATCCATCTGTAATTATTAACATATAAATTGTCTTAGTATTCAATTACCGAGTCTCATAAAAGATGGGTAAACTTTTGGGAATATCTTTAAAAAAGCGCAAAAAGAAATACCACAATCTTTGACTTACAAATAAATGGACGACGGGTCTAATACATAAACCACGAAAAAAATGTCCCAGGTCAACCTATTTTAACGTAGTGACATGTAAAGGAATATGAAAAAGCTAAAACGTTGAATTTAAATTGTAATGTCATCGCAGTACTGTCTAATTTTGCTTGCTTCGCTGGCAGTCGAACAAGACTAAAGCGTGAATGACGCTCTGTATACGATTTTAACGCCCTATAAGTTTGGACACTTTTTAGCGCGGACCCGACGTTCATATAATTGTAAGTCAATGACCACAATACAATCACCGTTTAATCTGAATTATCACATAAGTGATACAAAAACTACTAATAATTATCATCATTAACTGACTTACACAGACACTATTATATAAGCGCAGCCAGACTAACGCCGACGAATTTAGCAATGTAGTGGAAAGCGACATACTTTATGTTACATTGCATCAAAACATGTATTGTATGATTTTTTATAAGTAAATACATAAAAAAAACAACAAAAAAAACTACGGCTGTTAAAGGAATTAGAACCGTCGAATTCTCAAATGAGATTGAGATTGATAAGAGCTGAGCACCGGTTTGGCAGACTGACGCTGATTTGCGTCCAGTCAGATTAACGGAATTTTTCTTGTTTTTTTGTGTTTGTTCGATATTTCTTTCAATTCCGCAAAAAATTTAACATATATTTCTGAATAGTAACTGTTTACACTTACTACTCAGAAATAAAAAATAAAATAAAGATGTCTACACTTACCACATGACCTTCAGGCCACATCAGATCTTCGTCAATGCAATCCGGTTTGTAGAGAGATGGATCGAGTACTCCCAGGTCGGTGGTATTGGCTGAAACAATACCACATAATTAGTCTGAAGTTTATTGTAAAGTAAATATACATAAGGTTATTTACTAATACAGTTCTTTTACTGATTAAATGTCTATATACGGTCCGCCTGGACATATACTACTGTTCTTCCTGTTTCTACCGCAGCATTGCTGTTTTGAAGAATAAAGAAGAAACTTAATACTTAGTACCTTTAATAAAGTCACATGTGATCCGCCAAAAGAGCTTTTATAACATGAAAATCTCAAAATTAAAACGAACTACATGGAAATTATGTTTTATAAGTCTATTTAACTTTATTCTCTCTCCTGAAAAGTTGTCATTTTGTTACAACTCGGTGTAATAATACACCGAGGATGTGATTTCGTTCCACAGCCTAAAACCTATACGTTATATCAATGGTAATTATGGTCTATTGACTAAGATTCGGAAGTCCAAATTGAAGGTTGCTTAAAAGCGCATGCGCACGCGTATTTTAGGTGTTAAAGATACGGATCGAGTCCGACACATGACACTGTTCTACAACTCATCTAACTGATGTAGGAAAAAAATGCCACGCTAAAATGGGATTGGACAGGCCTTGTCCAAAGTTTGCACTCAAATAGATGTTTAGACAGTAGGTGCCCCAAGATTAATGATGCAATAGAGCTCTGTTTCTGCTTCCGCAACCGCGGCAGTTCCGCACGCTTTTTCATATCTGTTTCCGTTTTTGCTTCCACGTTTTTATAACAGAACTTTTATCGGCAGTTTTATAACGTTCGCGATGGATCAGACCCGTGTGTGTATGCTAGGGCGTATGTAGGTGGTTTTAAAAGCAGTTCTGTGTTGTATTGAGTGCAGTTGTGCAACCAAAAATAAGCCCTGTTTGAATTTATTTCGTTGAGATCTTTACAGTGTTTACATTTCCGCTTCAGCATCTGCTTTCGTTTCCGTTTCTGCTAAGATTTATTTATTTTTGACATCTGCTTCTGCTTCTATTTCCGTTGGATCACTACACAAGATGGCCGTCAGTGGCGTAGCAGGCCAAAATGGAGATGGATGATGACTTAGGCTCAAATCTGCTAATTTTAAATCATCTCAGTTGTTTGTCGAAAGAGTGTCAATGGAAGGATTTTGTACGTTTGGTATTCTGTTAAAAGTTAAGAGTACGTAATGGCTTGTCAGTGGCTAGCCATCGAGCTACGATGCAACTGATATTGTAATTTTTTGGTATTCTACTCTTTAATGGCGTATTGATGTCACGTTCATGGTGTAGTCTACTAATATTCTTCTTTCCTTGGGGTGCCGTCTCCTACCGGATGTCGGCTATCATTGTGGCGATTTGGGTCCGTGAAGTTGCGGCTCGAAACAGTTCTATGGTACTATGGTTCTATGGTGTTGAACTACTCTCCAAATTTTAAAGCCATGTGGTATTCTTCGATTTCCTCTTTTTTACTGCTTTCAGGAGCTCCAAGCCTTTGTGCATCCCATAACATAACTCCAAATATTATCACAATTGCAATGTAATATCTGCGGAGTTGCAATGGAATTACAATAATCGGTAGCTTCAAGATTAAACGAAATGGGGTCTCAGATGCATTCTTGAATAACTAAACGGAGATTTCTACAAATAGAGGGAATTAGAACTCCAAGCCTTTCTTTTATAATATGTATTTTAGTCCGCATAATGCTAGACTAAGATAATAATTTCACTTCTTTCTGTTTTTCATTGTTAAATAGGATAAAATGACACTGAATAACCAGATTATAATAGTCTTCTAAGTTGTGGTAAGCGACACGCCTATCCATAATAGTTGCAGTGCCACTCAGAGCTTTAAATCGCAAAGATCTTATTGGCACTGCCACTACGCCCGTCACCTTGAGGCAAAAGTTGACAAGTTCCATGATTTGTGTCTGTAATGTCACTATCACACTTACTCTTCCAAACTGAAACACGGTAGGTAATGCCTGGCAAGGTAAGGTGGCAGTACTTCCCTGAAAGAACTCTTTCACACGGAGCGCTACTGCTAGTAAAATTTGGCGAAAAAAAGACATAAAACCCATGAAGTCCCCAAAGCGCGTTCGGCCAGTGTACAAAAATGTGAATAAAATCTTGGGAGAGACTTCAGTTCCTTCACCAGCACACAATAAAACTTGGAAGTCTAGATGAAAAACATATTAAGGGAAAAGTATAAAAGGCACTTTTTTCTTTTAGCTCATAATTTTAATATTAATTTTCAGTATTACAGAATCAACAGTATTACGTAAAGTCACATTTTGGTAAAATGTAATTAATTACGAGCAGTTTAAATACATGCAAACATTTTAAACACGTCACGGAACCCCGGTTTCAACGGATTGCCTTTACTGCATAAATTACGTTTTGTTCACGCGAAAACAGGAAGTTGTAAGTTCGAAATTAATATTTCTATGTAAGTTTTATTTTACTGTTTTATATGACAACCGACGGGGCAACCGACTGGCAGAAGACCGGTTGGACGTCCTAGATATCGCTGGATCGACCAAGTCCACAAAGTCCTGTGTGAGCTTCGAATAACCAATTGGCAACAAGAGGCACAGAAGACAGAAGAGTCCACTTCGGGTCGCTGAGTCAGCGAAGTAAGTAAGTTTGATATAGAGAAAAAGTCAAACGGAATTAGGTAACCATCAGTATATATAGTATGTTTCTTTTTATGATACCAAGTACGGGGCGAACAAGTCGTGCGCCTGGTGCTAAGCAATACGCCAGTTCCATAGCAGTTGCAATGCCACTGAGAGCTTTAAATCGCAAAGATCTGAGGAGCACTGCTATCGTTCCGTCATCCTGAGACATAAATTAAAAAGTCTCATGTGCCTGTAATTTTACCAGCACTCTTACTTTTCAAAACCGGAATACAGTAATGTTGACGTTACTGCTTGGCGGCAGAAATAGCTTAGGTAGCAGTACATCCCTGGACGAATTCTTTCACAAGGAGCTCTACTGCTACTCAATCAAGAATCATTTAAGGCTGTCACCGCCTCGGTTGGGCGTGGCCGGGACGACAGTTACGTGAGCAGCTAGCGCGTCTTGGTAGCAGTCTAGTAGAGAGCTTGAAGCGTGGAGACGCGCGGGACACGTGAGTTGCTCTTTAAGTTGGAAGCTATGTCCGGACATTGTCGCAGGACACTGTGACTGGCATTTCCGGCATTAGCCCGGAGAGCTAGTAGAAGATAAACTAGATATTCTCCGGTCCTTCCAGCCGCTTAGGTTATTGGGAACTGGAACGTCGTTTTTCGGCGTCGGGAAATGAGCGTGTCTTATAGCTCCGCCACCAATGAGGAGATTTGGTGGTGGACTCAGAGTCAATGGCTTAGCGGTGGCAACCACTAGTTGTACAATGCGCAACAGGAAGTGAGCGTGCTTACAGCTCCGGTGCCTATCTGGAAATTAGGAGGGTACAGTACGTGCACCCGGGGCGACTCACCCGAGGCACTAGCCTCTCGAAGTACCGGATGAAGTCAAGTGCCAAGTGTCTGTGACAACCATGTACACTGGCTGATCTGGGGTCACAAACTGAACTAACAAGGTTCCTGTGCGCGAACAGATAATAATACCCTCTGTCGTATACCCTCAGAGTTGGTAGGGAGGGTCAGTATAATCAAAACTAATGTAAGTTGCAACGCGCGGCCGATGAGCGCGATCCGCGCGATCGTGCTTCTTTTCCTTTTAACGTCGTCTCTTCGTCTTTCCCTTTTCCTTCCAACGGTATTACATGCGCGCTCAACGATTGTAGTATCACGCGCGATTTAATAAATAATTTAATAATAAGTAATGTGGTAAGCTATTAACGGTTTTATACAGTTATTAAAAAATCTATTTGTATTCGACTACAGAACAAATGCTGAGTAATATTTCGCTTTGAACACCTTTGATACAAAAAATATTGGTTTTTACATGAATAATCTCAGTACAGAGTACCAAAAAAACCGACCTCAAAAGTAAGTGGAATTACGTCAATTTGCTAAGTTTTATTGAAATATCACCTAGTTCGCCACTATACAGAACTTGACACTGGAGATAATAAAAATCAGTTCTCACTACTCAAAGTATATTGAGAGAAAAACGCCTTGAATTGGAGAAATAGCAAAACCAACAATTAAACTAATTGCTCCTAAATTAAAGTTAGGCGCTATTTATAAGCATGAATCTTCATGCGTGAACAGCCACCCTTAGAGGTGAATGATTTGAATGATTCTCAGTGTAATAAGGCCATATCTGTAAAATGACATCTATAGTTTATAACGACATTAGTTGATAATTTTTTTATGTCTTATAAAATTTCACATAAACATAATTTGTTTCATGTACGACGAATAACATTGATATATTGAGGTATTATGATATGTGGCTGTATTACAGCATGGGCACGAATTACGAATAAGCGGACATTGGCTCAGCGTACAGTTCGTATTGTGCAATCATCAGTATGTTGATCTATGGACTCTTTTCGTGAGTGGTATAGAATTCAATTGTCTAAGTAGTCTAAGTAGTAGACATTTAGTCTATGTATCTACTTAGACACATATACTGCTTAAAATTATTGTAGGTATTTTGTTAAACAAAGAAGGGTAGCATAACCAAGGTAATTGCCAACCACACCCATCAAACGCGCCTAAAGCAAAAACCAGCTTATCTATACAGTTCAAAAGTCACTGTAATTGAAAAATCACACCTTGTTTGCTAGGTAGTAAGGGATAGTTGACAATTTTTGTAACTGATCAGGTGAGTAGGTTTAAATTACTAGTTTCTATAATTATGTAACGGTTGTACGTATTCTGAATGTTACGTTTTCATTCCCGGTAGGCCAAGATTGTGTCAGTTACCCTTTCATTTTAATTATTTATTTTCGCTTACCTGTTAAAAGTTATTATTACGTAACAAATTAGGTACATTTTTCACTCACACAGGTGTGGCATCGACATCTTTATTACGTAATGTAACTTTTTATGAGGGTGTCATACGAAATTTCGAGCACAATATTG